CACTCTAAAAAACCTTGAATGAGTCAGTTTTGTGTGACTTCTTCCTAGAAAACAAACGTCAGAGCGATTGGATGCAGGTTGGGTGTTGTGCATTGAGGCATTTTAAAGGGCTGAGCATAGGAGGGGGGGGTTGTTTGTGTGTACGCTGTCGTGCACCCTTGGAACTTGGCTGCCAGTGACAAAATGCTTCCCACTCACACCCCCATAAATCACGAAAGCTCTGTGCTTTCTGTAGCGACTAAATTTAGCAGTTCCTCACTTCTTTGGGTCTAAGCTGAGGACGCAGGCCTGGGTGGGTCGGACGTTTGACAAAAGAAAGATTCCAATCTAGCATGTCCTAATTTTAGCTCTCCTGTACGTCAATTTCATTTCATTGGAAGGAGACAAAATTGACACAGTGAATATTCCCCATCCCTCAAACAATCCTGACTTCCTACCGTCAGAGGAAACTAATTTATTTCTTTTGGTCTTCAGTTAAACCTTTGTGGTGGAGGAAACATTCAGCAAGTGTGATAATACGGTTAAAATATTCATCTTTGCAACCTACGTTCAGATCCCCACTTGTTAGGAAGCGTCCTCGTCATTTTCCAAAACTAATCAGAACTGAGAGCTAGCAGTGTGTTGCAGTGGTTAGTGCTGGACTCAGAAGGTCCAGATTCTGTGCCTTTGGGCCAGTTGGGACTCCAACAGATTGACCTGCCTCGCAGGCTTGTTGTGACAATATGGCTGATTGGATAGCTCAGTGGGTTAGGTATCCAGAGGTTGGGAGTTCGATTCCCCAGGGGGCCTCCCTGGAGAAGAGCCAGCCTGTGTATTTATTTATTTATTTTATTAGATTTAAACCCCACCCTTCTAGACCAAAGTCCCAGGGCACCCCCTAGAAGAACAGAAAGGATATACTACTTCAGAGTATTCTCTCCCTGGAAAAGCCTGCCAAGAGTCACCATAAATCAGAATTAATTTGAGAGCACATGATTGATGGATGGATTATTTATTAATTTGACTTCCATAATCTGGCTGCCAAGGCCACTGGGTGGTTTACAACTTTGTAGCCTAACAGCAATTTAAGAACAGTAAACATTGATAGCTATACAAATCAAAATCAAACACATTCACAAAACAACATAAAGTTATCGTTATCACTGTGTTACAATGTTATAAGATCCAGGAAGATGGGAAGACCTGTCTGAAAAGCCATTTTTTTCAATGATGGTTTAAAAATTCCCCTCTTCTTCTTCTTAAATTAGAAGCAATTTGACACAGCACATAATACAGTGGTGCCTCGCTAAACCATGATAATCTGTTCCACTGAAATCGCTGTTTAGCGAAATCATCATCTAGCGAAAAAGCATTTCCCCATTGGAATGCATTGAAACCTGTTTAATGCGTTCCAATGGGGAAGAATCGTCGTTGTCTAGCGAAGATCGGCCACAGGAAAGCCGCTTTGCAAACCGCCGATCAGTTGTTTAAATCGCTGTCTTGCGAAGCTTAGGTCCCGAAAACACCTGTTTGCGAGCGCGGAGGGAGCTGTCAAAATCATCGTCTAGCGAAAATTGGTTTGCGAAGCAGGGACCAAACATTGTCCAGTGAAATTCCCCCATAGGAATCACTGTTTTGCGAATCGCTATAGCGATCGCAAAAAGCCAATGTCTAGTGAAAAAACTGTCACACGGGATAACTGTCTAGCGAGGCACCACTTGTATATATGTATTTCTTTGCAAGGGAGATGCTGCCCTCCTCTGACCAGTTGCAGTACTTGGCCGAGGAGCCATTGATTGTGGAATGGATCTAATTCCCAACTTGCAAGCCAGACATCATCTCCAGAAGAGGAAGTTTCCCGTGACAACTGTTGCCAAAGCCCAGAGGCCCTTGAACGGGCTAAGAGCAGCAGAAAGGGCTAACGCAGCCCTTTTTATACTGTCAAAACTGAGGATGATGAAAATGATGACTGATTTAATTGCTTACACGTATCTCCCGCTTTTCCTCTAAAAAAGAGCACTCGAGGTGGCTTACAAATGTTCACAAAGAGTAAAAACAAATAGAACCACACGTAGTTTAAAATCATAACATCAGGAGCGAGAGGTTGGGAGTTCGATTCCCCTCTTTGATAGGGGTTGGGTCCCTTCCGACCCGGCGGTGCTAATGATGATGATGATGACATAACCAGCCTGCTGTAAATCCAATAAAATCCAGTAAACACTTTAAAAATATTAAAATCCAGTACTGTTAATAACAGTTCCATGGGGCAAGACATCATGAGCCTAATTTGCTAAACAAGACAAAACAAAGTTAAATAAATAATATAAATAGACTGATTAGTTTAAAAAAAAAATCCTGCTCCATGGTCTGTCACTTTTAGGTCAAGTTTACATCTGGAAAGGCAGACCTCCCAAATAAGTTCTAAAATTAACAATATATAATAATAACATTAGAACTCTAGAGCCGGAAGCAACTCTGTGGATTGTTGAGTTCAGCCCGTCAAGAAGGCTCAGTGGGGGAATCGAACTCCCAACCTCTGGCTACACATCTGGAGACCTAAACCACTGAATTCTCCAGTAGTTTTAAAAGGCCAGAAAAGACATTTGATTTATCTCGCGTGCTGTGACCCATGTCGAACTTACCAAGTGGACCTCTGTGCCAGTTGCTGGCTGTCCCTTTCCGAACTGGAGAACTGACCTCAGTGGGGGAATCGAACTCCCAACCTCTGGCTACACATCTGGAGACCTAAACCACTGAATTCTCCAGTAGTTTTAAAAGGCCAGAAAAGACATTTGATTTATCTCGCCTGCTGCGACCCATGTCGAATTTACCAAGTGGACCTCTGTGCCGGTTGCTGGCTGTCCCTTTCCGAACTGGAGAACTGACCTCCTCTGAAGACAACATCGTGGAACCGGAAAAGCTGAGGGGATTCGAATCCAGGTCTTCCAAATCCAAGCCTGTTGCTCTATCCACTGCACTGCACTGCTTACACGCACATATATACTGTTACTACCCAGTTGGGTGTAGTGGATAGAGCGATGGACTAGGACTTTGGAGACCTGGGTTCGAATCCTGGTACAATGTCAGGATCACTGGGGGTGTGTGGAACCAATAAAAGCACCCCTTAAATATCTGACTGACCTTGGAAGCCCTTTCCGACTTGATTGCTCGTAATACACCCATAAACAGACAGAAATTCTTATGCACATAAACAGAGGCCGTAAGTATTCATTCAACTGATGATGCGGATTGGCCTAGAGATACAGAGAACACAGTATTTGCACCCTTGGGGTCTGCTAGTCTTTAAGGGGTCATAACGTTTTGTCTCTCCCCCAACACCACGTTGCACTACAAAGCCCATCACTCCCCACCCTGACTCTATGCTGGCCACTAGGGCTGATGGGACGTGCAAGCTAGGAAACCTCCCCTGTTTTAAGGCTTTGGAGGTGAGTGGGGAGGGAAGCCTGCCTCTGGTGTGCGTGCGTGCATGTGTGTATTTTGCTATTGAGTTATACTTGTGTGTGAGAGAGACTTTTGCTTCTGAGCTATGCTTGTGTGTGTTTGTGTGTTATCTTTTACTATTAAGCCATGCTTTTGTGCATGTGTCTTTTGCTATAGAGCTATGCATGTGTGTGTGTATCCTTTGCTATTAAATCACACTTTTGTGTGTGTCTTTTGCTTCTGAGCTGTGCTTTGTGTGTGTGTGTGTCTTTTGCTGTAGACCTATGCTTGTGTGTGTTTGTGTGTACCTTTTGCTATTAAGCCACGCTTTTGTGTGTGTGTGTGTCTTTTGCTGTAGACCTATGCTTGTGTGTGTTTGTGTGTACCTTTTGCTATTAAGCCACGCTTTTGTGTGTGTGTGTGTCTTTTGCTGTAGACCTATGCTTGTGTGTGTTTGTGTGTACCTTTTGCTATTAAGCCACGCTTTTGTGTGTGTGTGTGTCTTTTGCTGTAGACCTATGCTTGTGTGTGTTTGTGTGTACCTTTTGCTATTAAGCCACGCTTTTGTGTGTGTGTGTGTCTTTTGCTGTAGACCTATGCTTGTGTGTGTTTGTGTGTACCTTTTGCTATTAAGCCACGCTTTTGTGTGTGTGTGTGTCTTTTGCTGTAGACCTATGCTTGTGTGTGTTTGTCTGTACCTTTTGCTATTAAACCACACTTCTCTGTGTGTGTCTTTTGGTATAGACCTATGCTTGTGTGTGTTTGTGTGTACCTTTTGCTATTAAGCCATGCTTTTATGTGTGTTTCTTTTGCTATAGACCTATGCTTGTGTGTGTTTGTGTGTACCTTTTGCTATTAAGCCACGCTTTTGTGCATATCTTTTGCTATAGAGCTATCCGTGTTTGTGTTTGTGTGTTATCTTTTACTATTAAGCCATGCTTTTGTGCATGTGTCTTTTGCTATAGACCTATGCTTGTGTATGTTTGTATCTTTGGCTATTAAGCCACGCTTTTGTGCATATCTTTTGCTATAGAGCTATCCGTGTTTGTGTTTGTGTGTTATCTTTTACTATTAAGCCATGCTTTTGTGTGTGTTTCTTTTGCTATAGACCTATGCTTGTGTATGTTTGTATCTTTGGCTATTAAGCCACGCTTTTGTGTGTGTGTCTTTTGCTTCTGAGCTATGCGTGTGTGTTTGTGTGTATCCTTTGCTATTAAACCATACTTTTCTGTGTGTGTATTTTGCTATAGACCTATGCTTGTGTTTGTGTGTACCTTTTGCTATTAAGCCATGCTTTTATGTGTGTTTCTTTTGGTATAGACCTATGCTTGTGTGTGTTTGTGTACCTTTTGCTATCAAGCCACACTTTTGTGTGTGTGTGTCTTTTGCTTCTGAGCTCTGCTTGTGTGTGTTTTGCTCGCTCTCTCTCTCTCTCATTCTCGCTATTCAGCGAGGCCGGGTCCTGCCCCCGCGGGAGCCACCACCTCCAGGACGCGCGGCGGCGCCAAGCGTATGTCCCTCCGCCGCCACCGTAGGGCGCCCTTGGCTCTCCTTCCCCACTTCCGCCCTTCCTCCCCCCCTCCTCCCCACGTGGCCCGGGAGCAGCAGCAGCGGCGGCGGCTGCAAGGCTGCAATCGCGGGGCTGCAACTTTTGCAAAATCCGAGCCTTCGTTCCCGGGGATGGGTCTCCTTCCGGTCGGATCCGAGCCGTGAAAAGCGGTGCCCCATCGGGAAAAAAGGGGCAGCTTGGCTGCTGCCCCCCGGCTGATCCCTGGTCCTCCCCCGGGGGACGGCGATGCCCTTATCCTGCTTGGGGCGGAAGGTGCTGAGGCTGGCTGCGCGGATCCCCTTTCCCAGAAGCGCCTTTTGCTATTAAACCACGCTTTTGTGTGCATGTCTTTTGCTATAGAGTTATGCGTGTGTGTTTGTGTGCATCCGCTGTAGGTCTTGCGGTCCCTGCCGGGGCTGATGTCGTTGAGGGATGATGCATCATCATCATCATCATCATCCACACCCTCCTCCTTCTTCCTCGCTGCATTCCGTTTTTCACTCTTTAGCCGTGCAGCTGCCAAGAGGAGGAGCAGCCGAAAAAGCTCCAGCCTGAACAATTCAGAGTCCAGCCTCGAATGCTTGTGGGGCGACAGGTTGGCTCAATCGCTGGCTTTTTGAATGCATTCTGCTCTTTAAATGGGCAGCCGAAGAGCTGGAAAGGGAGTCCGTAACAACGACGATGATGATGATGATGCACGAATTATTTCTTGGTGCATGGAAGTGGATGAGAGAATCAAGGCTAAAAACGAGGAGTCGGGTCCCAAAAATGTGTGGGTGGGGTGATAGGCTGACAAAAAGCATTGGTTTTTGGATTTCCAAATGGTAGCCGAAGATTTTGGCTGCTGTTATTATTATTAGCAGTAACAGCAGCAGCAGTATTTGTATTAATATTATATTTTGTTGTCTTGCTGTTGTTGCTGATTTGGGCCATTATTATCATATTTTGTTCTTTTTATTGATGACGCTGAAGCAAATTAGCAGCTCTCGGAAACTGTTTTAAACTGGCAACCAAATATTTTGGGACGACTCCTGTTGTCGAAGTTAGTCTGGGGAGGAGAGAGAACCTGATCTCGTTTCTGTATCAATTTCTATGTTCCCGTGAGATTTCTCCCATTGACAGAAACACTTGGCTTAGCCGTGATGCCAACGATGTACGGAACCTCTGTCCTTTTACTGTCGTCCTTTTCCAGAGACGTAGGATGGCCGAGGAGCCGGTGACCGTGGCCAACAGCCAGGCAAAAAGGCTGAACAGCGGAAAAGAGGAGGAGGAGGAGGAGGAGGAAGGAAAGCCAGGGGAGAACGGACACGTGGTGAAACGGTTCAAAGCCGGCGAGGAAGAGGCTGAGGATGAGATCAAGAGGTTCCCAAAGAGGAAGATCGTGCTGCTCATGGCGTATTCCGGAAAGGGCTATCACGGCATGCAAGTGCGTGGGTGGAGGGGAAAGGAGGTTGGGGCGAAAGGGCCAAATGGGGGAGACGTGCGTGCAGGGGCCAAGTGACACACGCTGCTGAATGCACTCTGAACCGTGGCTTCCGACCATGTTGGTTTGGGATGCCATGCATTTGAGCACTGGTTCCCAACCTTGGATGATGCAGGTGTTCTTGAACTTCAACTCCCAGCAACCCCGGCCAGTGCAGCTGGTGGTGAAGGCTTCTGGGAATTGCAGTCCAAGAACATCTGGGTGACCCTATGGTTGGGATCCACTGCATTGGAGGCAGAAATCCTGGCCTGTGGTTCTCGTGCATGAGAGCAAGAAATGGCAGAGTTTTCTCCCTTTTGGTCTGCAAAATGTTTTTTCCAGCGATCTGGGTGAGATTCCTCATGTCGATGAGAAGGACGATTTTGCGCAAATTTTTGCATTGTGCAAAAGCTGCTCTCTCGAGCCAGCAGTCCAACGAAAGCAATAAATGTCTCACTGAGGTTTGAATGCTGACTATAAGAGGAAGGCCGTAAATGGGATCTAAGGAAGATCTCCAGGAGATCCTTGTTGAGGTGGGGGCAGAATTCCACGGGATGTTATTAAGACGTCTTTTCCTTTGGCAGAGGCCAGCCATCTCATGGTGGGTGGTGGCATACAGAGAAGACCATCCACTGAACACTGTCAGTGTTTATATCTAGGGTGACTTGGTGATTTGGGGCACGCTCTCTTAGCGGTTATGTTATGCCATGCTTGTCTGCTGAGGAGTGAGGGATCTTATCCTTCTTTCCAGCGTAATACAGGAAGTGCTCAGTTCAAGACGATTGAGGACGACTTGGTATCAGCCCTCACTCAGTCAGGGTGCATCCCAGAGGACCACGGGGAAGACATGAAGAAAATGTCTTTTCAGCGATGCGCCCGGACAGACAAGGTGACGTGGCGTCTTTTACTTTGGACATAGAAGGGATAAGAGAGAGATTTTGCGGGGAAGGCTCAAAGGACGCGGCCATGCCGTTTTCATCTGTGAATCCCTCAACTTCTTTGTAACATACTAGTGTCCAGGGCCCTGCTCTATATTATTTGTCCTTGGTTTTGTTTTCTAACAAGCCTATCTACCTTGGAGGTGGCTGGACAGTTCATTGAGTTGGGTATCTGGCCGTGGGGCCAGAGGTTGGGAGTTTGATTTCCCCGCTGTGCCTCCTGCGAGTAGAGG